GTATAAACCAGTTAAAAAGGAATAATTACCAATTATAGGGTGATTTTTGTCCATTAATTGATTAAGCAAAAACAAAAAGTTATAAGATTTACCCTAAATTTGTCTAAATATCTCATACTTAAAAAATATCAAACGAATTTATTCAAGATGTGAAAAAAACTATAAAATTATCATCTATAAAGTAAACCTTAAGATTGTAAATTGTAAAAGAACATATTAAAAAAAAAAAGTAGTAACAGCCATAAGCCCCATGAGATATACATATCTCACTCACATTTTTTTTTGGGATATATCAGATTGTTGACATTCTGAAAGCTTTAAATTACTAAGTTAATTAGCTTTAAAAAAAAAATGAATAGTAGAAAACATCTTTTTTAATTAATTTATTCATTTTTTTTATTATAATGCAATAAAAGTAATTGAAGGGCCTAAAACTCACTATTTTTTTAAGTAAAGGACCAATTCACCAGACTTATGTTTTTTTTTTCACACAAATGTAATATATTTGTATGGATATTTTGTTCTACAGGCCAATCTGACCAATCTTCTACGACCACTTTGAAAAGTATTCGTTTGTCTACGTCTCCTCAGCTTGAACCCCACCTTCCTTCATATTTAAGTCTTGCTTGTACCGTCAACGGCTACTCTACAACCACCAACTATAATTCGGATCGTTTATCTAAATCAAGAGATGTTTCTCCTCATCGTATTCAGGATGGAGATTTGACAGGACCTTATAACGAACCTGTTGCCGACTATTCAGTAAGGAACAATCTGCTTTCTCCACCTACTGTGGTACCACTACCAATAAGCAACACAAAAAGACAGCAAAACAGCAAGGACAACAACATCATGGCAAACCACAGTAGTATGTCTCATCACGAGTACTTTTCTACTTCCAGCAGGATCTTCTATCAAACCCACGAGAGCAAAAGCTCTTACATGGGCCACTACACTAGTAAATGTTTCTCTGGGGCCACGTCGACTTCCAGTGCCCACAATAGGAGCACGGCTAAAGAATGTAAAGACGAAACCGAAACTAAATCTTTCATCCAACAGAGGGTGGAACGTCTGTATGGACCAGGAGCGTTAGCTCAGGGATTTTTTATCAGTAAACGTCTACAGGGCCGCAGTTTTGAGGCACCCCGCAATAATATCGATTTAAACGTGTCCCCAGGTAAGCATTCAACATCTTTTGATGAAGGGACGAAATGCGACGAATCCCACATGAAGCAAAGCTGCAGCAGCCCCACACTTCCAGTTATGAGACATCTACGACCGGAGTTTCGTGCTCAACTGCCGATTATTAGTCCTAAGAAGAGTCTGGATTCTGTTATCCAAAAAGGTAACGCTTCCTTGAACTTAAAGGAAGAAACGAAGAAAAATGGAGAAATACTAGAGTCCGTCGTTACTAATACAAAAAAAATTAATGGAAACGTAAATAACGAAGATGTAATTATGCCGAGTCTTAGAAAATGCGTTAACGGGAAATTGTCTGAAATCACTCTAAAAGACGGTAAGTGATAATGAATAATTAAAAGCTACTGTATGTGTTTCTATGAGTTACAACCACTTTGTTAAGATACTCTTTGATATCCCAATAGAACAACATTGCTATGGTGTTGTTGGCTTACAAGATTTAATAATTATATAATGTAAAATATTTCAGAGACAGTGAAGGACGGTCACTATTTCCTAAAAATTCTTGATGCCGAAACGGAAAGATTACTGCAATTGGCCAATCAAATAGAAAATGAGCTGGAAAATCTTTCGTTATCAGAGGAAATTAAAGGAAAATTACGGTCAGCTTCAGGCAAGGCTAGGCTTTTAACATCTCAGAAGATGCAACAGTTTCGGGGACTTTGTGCAAATAATATCAGTAGAGTAAGTCAGTCAGCATTATTTAGTGAATTTCTTATATTTTCTGTAACTAATAATTACTCTCAACATTAATTTGTAATATGCAGTTAGAATTCTAAAAAAAAAAACAGACGAATGCCTTCTACAAACAATAAAACAGAGTTTAAAAACTGGTGTTGAGGCTTTCTGAAAAGAAAATGAATTGACTTGTAGAATTATAACGAATGAAAGTTATTTTTTACCAAGTATTTAGATATATATATTTCGATAACTTACATAGTACAACTACAAGAAAACCTTTTTTACAATTTCTCTCTCACATATTCGTTCACATTGAAAAGTATTTGGCAACCATTTTCCAAGCGAGGATTATAAAAAATTGATTTATTTTGAATTGAAGGCATCTCAAAGTATTGATGCATCAGCAAGTCATAAAAAATTGTGAAGTTGTAAATTCACCATTTTATTTGGCATTCCTGATGTTATGCTCTTTGAAATTTGAAAATAACACTATCACTGTTACTAGTGTGAAAATGACGCGTTCCCCACTACAAATGAGGATCTTCAGGGCTTCTGGGACATGGTATTGTTGCAAGTGGAACAAGTAAACGACATTTTTAAAGAAATTGATGAACTTAGAGTGAACAATTGGGTAGAAGTAAGAAAAAAATGCATTAAAATATAACTGTGTTAATATTCTGAATTTGTTCTTTTTCATTTAAGAAACAATCTAATGACACAGTAGATAACGGAATGAAGAAGGGTAATGGTGTGAACGGAGTTGCAAAATTAAAAAAAGTTCCAAAACCCATGTCAGCAGCTAGTCAAGAGGCTAAAAAACAGAGGGATGCTCAAAGAAAACAAATGATTGAGGCAAGAAGAAAGGCTATGAAAGAGCAGAGGAATATTGACAACATTCAAATATTTGTTCCCGAATCCAGCTGAGATTTGCCTTAATTTTAGCCTATTTTTAAATTGATTACTCCGTAGAAAAAAAGCAAGAAGATAAATTCTGTCTATACATGTTCGAAATTTTAAAATATTACGATCTTAAGCTAAAATGAGGTGATATATTATTTAACGGACTCTTTTTTTTTTTATTTATATTTTATATTTAAAGATACGCCTTTTTATACGTTTCTATTTAATAAGTAAAATTTTTCAAGTCTACATATATGTTTTCTCTTTCAGCATATATTGTATAGGTTTTTTTTTATTTGTTCGGAGAGTTTTTTTACGTTATTTGACGAAGACTGATGAAAGGTTTTTCATGTATTTTTTATTGTTATGTAATCATCATACATCTGTTTAAAAAAAAAACATTCCGAGCAGTTTTTTGTTATACCGAAACTGTTAAATTTTACCAATTTATTATTTGATTATTATCGTGTAAATCCCTTGTTGACTTCGATTTTATTTCTCAATATTAATAAGCACATTGTATTTTACAATCTTTAATTCTAAATTTTTTTGTATTTTAACTAAAACACATCAGTGGTGGTTTAGGCAAAACAAGACTCATGTTTAATTTAAGTATCAATTATCAGTTTAATAAAGTATGCTACATTTTTTTACTTTAATTGCTTATTTTGAATAGGTCTTTAAAAAACATCTAGAAACATTGAAATCAAAATTATAAATTGATAAGGATTTTTTGTAGGCATGCATTTTACTGACTAGTTAGTTGAGTTACTTTTGGTTAATATTAAGTAAGTAAGTAAGATATGTAAGTATCACAATTGTGAGTCCATTAGTTCTGTTAAAAGAAAGAAAAATTGTTTTGAGTGCAGGTGGAAATTAAATGCCAATTTATTAAAAAACTACTGAAAATATGATAATTTAATTGACGCCAATTGATTGAATGTCATTTGTGCCTGAAGACTGAACAATTATGGAAAGGGGAGTTTATTTTTATATAATTTGTAATAATTGCAAATACTAAATTTGTCATTACATTACTATGTTCATATTATTATCTATGATTACCAATGGCGCACGCATATTAGTAATATCAATGAAAAGTAGTAGTATTCGTCTATGTATTATACGCAATAATTCCGCTTACCATATTAGATCAGTCTTCAAGCACAAATGACACGCAAACAATTGGCGTCAATTAAGTTATCATATCGTCAGTAGTTTTTGAATAAATTGACATTTAATTTCCATTTGTACCCAAAACAATTTCCTTTTTTAACAGAATTGATGGAGGACGCACAAATATGATACTTACATATTTAGAACCCGCAAACGATGCACAATTTATTGTTAAAGTTTAAAAAAGTGGATTATTTATATCTGGTGCCAGATTCACTCGACTTACACCTACTAAGTTTCAGTTCTACAGAGCTTTTAGTTCCATGTTCTATATAGACTTTCTATACATTCTACGATTGTCAATTGTATCTATGATTGTCTATGGTTTAGGATTGTTACCCTTTGTGTATCTATTATCTATGATTGTTATCAAGTGCTTAAATTTAAAAATAAAAAGGTTACTTTGGCGGTTTAAACATTGCAATATATTATTTATTACTAATCACTAATGTGAATAATTACGCTAATTAAATATATATTCTTCTTAGTAGTTGAAATAAATATGAGTGAAGTTGCTTTATCGTCATCATCAACAAAAACGGCGGAAGAAGAAGCAGACGATTTTGGCCCTACTCCGATTGCTCGACTTGAGGTATGTAGTTACTATAAATTTATGTGAAAATAAGTGTTAGTGAAATTATTTGAAGGGAAATGGTATAAGTAATGGTGATATTAAAAAACTGGAAGAGGCAGGCTATCATACAGTTGAATCTATTGCATATGCTCCTAAAAAATTCCTGATCTCTATAAAAGGTATTTCTGATGCTAAAGCTGAAAAAATTCATGTCGAGGCATCCAAAATAGTGCCTTTGGGGTTCACTACAGCTACTGAATTCCATCAAAAAAGACAAGAAATTATTCAATTAACAACTGGCTCTCAAGAACTAGACCGTCTTTTGGGAGGTGGTGTTGAAACTGGGTCAATTACTGAAATATTTGGAGAATTTAGAACTGGAAAGACGCAAATTTGTCACACATTGGCTGTTACGTGTCAGGTAACTGTCCTACTTGTGTATAAGTAAACAATTTACTATTGACATTGTTTACAGTTACCTATTGAAAATAATGGAGGTGAAGGAAAATGCTTGTATATTGATACCGAAGGCACTTTTCGACCAGAACGATTGCTTGCTGTTGCAGAAAGGTACAAAATGTCTGGTCAAGATGTTCTTGATAATGTAGCTTATGCCAGAGCATATAACACTGACCATCAAACAGAACTTTTAATTCAAGCTGCAGCAATGATGGTAGAATCCAGGTAATGATCTGCTTAAATTTGCGATTGGTTTTTTAAATTCTTTGTTAGCAAATACAATTATATATTGTTTTCCAGATACTGCTTAATAATTGTGGACAGTGCAACTGCTTTATACAGAACTGATTATTCTGGAAGAGGAGAATTGTCTGCAAGACAAATGCATTTAGCAAGATTTATGAGGATGTTACTTCGATTAGCAGATGAGGTATGTTTTTCTTATAAAAACACTTATGCTCCCATAAAAAGATACATTTTTAGTTTGGCGTTGCTGTTGTAATAACAAATCAAGTAGTAGCTCAAGTTGACGGAGCAGCTATGTTTAATGCTGATCCTAAAAAACCTATTGGAGGTAACATAATTGCACATGCATCCACTACAAGGCTATACTTACGTAAAGGAAGAGGTGATACACGAATTTGTAAAATATACGATTCGCCTTGCTTACCTGAATCAGAAGCAATGTTTGCTATTAATCCTGACGGCATTGGGGATGCAAAAGAATAAGTTATAATTTAAAATAAATTCCTTCCTGCATTTGCCTAGAAAATATTGTTACAATTCAGATATATGTGTATATTGTTTTTTTGATTAACTTTACTTGTAAAATTAGCTATAATTTTATTAAAAAGGCAAATGAAAGATATAAAATTTTAAACATGGTAACTCTTATCTGAATGTTTTGTATTTTGAAAAATCAACAGACAAGAATGCCCTATACTACTAGTATGAGACTTATGAACATATAAAAGGTACTGCTGTTGCGCGTGCAAACTAACGCGGCTCTTAAATAATTTAACAGAATTAATATTCAACAGCTCACTGGGAAGAGTATTCCATTGCCTTCTCATACGGTAAACTACTGAATTATATATATAGTTTCTTCTCGATGCATTTTCCGTAATGGGTCTGTGGCACCGTTTATGTTTATATATTTATTTATTCATTTATTTCACGGGTTTAATGAAAGTTCATATTTATTTTTAATTTTCCTACTACAAATTACCTCAAAGGAAAATTGTTGCTGTTGTCACACCCATACCTCACCGGGAATCGAACCCAGGACCTTTGGCTTGACATAAATATTTGTCAACCAAAATTTATACGTTTACCATAAGAAAACCATTATTAAAATCTTAAGAAAGTTTAGATTACTTCTACACATTTGATATCTTTTATCTCTTATTCATGCTTTTAGAATATATCTTTAATATTGTCCTTTGCTATCTCTACTCTTATATTAAAATCAGCTAGCACCTTCTTTTGTACAATTTCACTTCCAACTGTTACTAATCTATATGTAGGTTTTCCTTTTTTGTACTCTTCTTTATACAGAGGCAAATGTTGAAAAGTTGTCACCTTACACATTCTTCATTTGAAGTAGTTATTTATTTTTCTTTGAATTGAATTTCTTCAAGTTATTCTTTAAAAAAGAATGAAGATAATAAGAAATTCTTTATTCTTAAAAAGTTTCCCATAACAATTAACAAAATATATAGATAAGAGTACATCTTAGTGCAAACAATGATACTGTAATGATATTAAGTCCATCCCAGACCCTTCCCTTCAAATTTTCTTTTGTATAAAACTTATTTTAAACTATAAGCTAATTACAATTTTGCCTCAGCCTTAAGCAATGGCGTTAATTTCTGTGCTAACATAATATTTCCGGCAATTTTTAATTTCCCTTTCATAAATGCAGCTTGGGGATTTAATTTACCCACTGCTAATTCCATGAAGTCTTCATCAGATACCGTTAAAGTCGTATTTGGTTTACCTTCCTTGGGAAGACCTTCATAAACTTGAGCATTCTTTAAATCCATAGCTACAAAAGTACATAAATTACTACTTTAAAAAAAATTAAGATTAGTGTGACTTACTCCACTGTTTGACTTGTTTTCCATCTTTAGTGATGTTATAAAGAAACACTGCATTTATAGCTTTTGCTTTAGCTGGATCATTTTTAACTCTATCAATTATAAATTCAAAAATTGCGTCACTTTGAAGTTGTGATGATTCTTTTTCAGGCATTTTTAGTTCAACAACAGACTTTAAATCTACGTAAGCACCTGCAAAAACGTTGGTGAAATTTCTTATTAAACTGCAATCAATGATAAGCCAATTGTGATGCAATCTTTTAAAGTAAAACTTTGTACAGAGATAATAAGAAATTTCAAGGTTGATTGTAACTGAAAAATTTAAAATGTAAAACCTAATCGATGAATAAACGGTAAAATGCGTCTATCATCTTCTACATCGCACAAGTGTGTAATTAATGACAGTCATAAAGTCAAAGGTTCATAAATGGTATATGAGAAATATTAATCAAATGTATATCTGTTGTAAAAACAATGAAAAATAATATTTGCAAGGTTTTGTGCATATTTCTACAATTAGGGTGCTCATTATTACCTGTACTCTTCAATATTTTCAAAAGATCAAAAAAAACGTTAAAAAAAAGCTCAATTTAACTTACACTTAGAATTAAAACAAATAAATTTAAATACTAAAATTAAAAAAATTATTATAACCACAATTGTTAATAATAATAGAAAATAGCAAAAGGATGTATCAGCATTGTTACACCCTAAATTGAGGTTAGGTATTGCTGACAGTTAATTATTGATCTTGCATTTATACAAATATTTTCGGTAGCGATAATACTGATTTAAATCACATTTAACACGATACAACTAGCAGGCAAAAATAAAAATTATATTTTTATCTACTTTCACATGTAACCTATAATCTAACCATAAATGAAGATTGATATTATTTTCAGGCCCTTATCGTTAGAAAATTTTGAAATACTTTTATTTTATTGTGATAAGGTATATAATTGTCTGCACAATAGCAACAATTCTAAAGAAATTTATGTAATGGTTATGAGTAAAAAATTAATTTTGATCATTAAAACAGATGAAAATTTATTATGAATCCAATATAACAATATGTGAACGTCAAAATTTGTCCAACATTTCTTCAGTATTTATTATAAAAAAAGCAAGGAATGAAACTGCAACGCGCGCGGTCAGAGTTCGAGTCCCGATACAGTACATTTTTTTTTCTTATGTTAAGTAAAATAAATTTAGTTAATCTCAACCAGAGGTGATTCTAGTATATTTATCAAAAGCTGTACTAGAAAATCAACTTGAGTTTCTTGTACAACTGTACAGAAGTAAATACGAACTGTTCAGGTGAAAAATCCAATTTATTTTCCGACGATTCGCTCATTTGTTTTGAACTTTGTTAATAAATTGGATTATTTACCTGAACAATTTGTATTGACTTCTATACAATTAGAGTTTTCAAAATAGAAATCAATGTCTTGTACAACATTCAACTGCACACTCACAATATCGTTATATCACGTTCGCTGTCATAATGAACGCCGGCGTCTCTCAGGCGGATATCATTCAGGTACTATGAGGACCGTTGGAAGTCTTCAGAAGCCATTTACTTTGGTAATATTTTTTTTACTGGCCTCTACTTAAAATCTTTATATTTTGTGAGTGGCACATAAATTAACTAATGAAATCATGTGCCAGTTGGCCAAAAGATCGCTATTTTTTCCCAAAGTCATTGTTTGTCCTTGAGGTTTGAATAATTCCAGCTGGGGACCGCCAGCATCCTTATGGCCACCCAGTAAACAATTTTCATAAGGATTTTACACACGTGTCACGAAAATAGTATCTTAGCAGAATACTGCTCGTTTATTGCCTGACAGCGAACGTTATATACACTGAATAAAAATATATAATTATATAAAAATATATTTTATCACTCAAAATACTATCATCTGGTTTAAATTACATATGTACTTTTATTAAAACTCACCAGTGATCACAGGAGTATTCGTTTCAGCAATAACAGTTTCAAAGTGTATTCTATTCCCTTCTTGCCACATATTAACTTTTAAAGTTTGTCCAGGAATTACAGGCTTCGTAAAACGTGCCTAAACCAAATAAAAGAAATATATTAAAGTATCTTATGTAATTTTGCTCTTTACCTTAACAGCTCTAAACAAACGGCTATCATAGTTAGCAAATCCAGCTAAAACCAATCTCACAGAGAACCCCAAAGTGCAAAGACCATGTAAAATGGGACTATCATACCCTACAATTGCTGCCATATTAGGGTCAATATGTAATGGATTAGTATCACCTGATAAAAAAGATTATTTTGTTTAGTTTTAATATTTTTTTATGCATCTTTTAAATTCTACTGTACCAAAAAAGGGACCATAGAAAGGTAAGAGTAGGTAAACTGTCCCTGGGCTACGAGTCTCATATTCTTTATGTTACTACTGGAATTGATTTATATCCTTCAGGGATAGTTTGCTCATGCTTACCCAGATACAATTTAAATTATTACTAATTTTACCTGAAAGTCTGTACAAAGCCGCCTGGTCAATGCTTGTCTTTTGTGACAATGATAAATCAGGTTTTCTAGAAGGTTTGATTCCACATGGGACAATTTTGCTCCCTGTCCTACTTCCTCCAAAATTGCCGGCTCCCTTGGCGAAGGCAACTATTTGATTTCTTGTCAAGGATTTTCCATTTTTATCACACGTATCCACTGTATTAAAAATCAACACAGTTTTCAAGTTTTGTTCAAAGAATTGTACGTTCATTTTATACCTTCTGTTACGAGAAGCGCTCCTGAACCTTTGTCCAGAACTTCGACAAGTTTAGGGCATGATATGAGCTTGCCTTCTGTAGGTAAGTCATTCAGGATTTCCAGATACTGCTCTCCATGTAAAATTTGTTCTAGGCTTATGTTTCTCCCCGGAATAGCGGTGGTTATTTGAGAAGAAGACATGACGGCCTGGAGAGCCGGTTGAATGAAGAAAAGGGGCAAGGGTGAAAAATCGGCATCATTTTCGTAAAGGTATCTGAGTTCTTCTTTTTTGGAAACCGATGCGCCGACTAATAAGTATTTTTAAAAATAATTGGTTTTCTTTTCTAATTAATATCATAGTTTATAATATTTTATTTTAATATAGTTCATTAATTTATTTTACTAGTAACAGTAAAAATATTTTTATCTGGTTACTTACTTCCTAAAGCATAAATAATAAGATCTCTATTATTAAATGAAAATTCATCGGTTCCATCTTCTTCATTTTGTATACTTTTAATGTCTCCATTCCTAAGCTTTTCCAGCACCTCAACCAAAGCTATGACCACCTCACGACCTGATCCCAAGCATTTACCATTCTTTGTGTCAATAATTTGTTCCCACAGCTTCTGAACGTTTTCTATTGAAACGTCTTCAGTCAAATTTTTTCGAAGAATTGCACCATTGGCTCTAAGAATTTGACATTTTCCCGCCCAACCACCACCAGACTCAATAATAGCTCCATTTTCCAGACAACTTTCATGACATAGATAAGCCTGTAACAGAAAATAATTTATTTATTTAGTGATAACAATAAAACATGACCAAAACTCACAACTACAGGGGCTATTAAATCAGGTTTAAGGGCTTCAAATAAGTCAGGAGGCATTATATCTTGTGTTAAACGACTGGCAGCCGTTGGTACTATAATGTTACAGTGAATATTGTAACGCTCGCCTTCAATTGCTACTGTATTTGCTAAGCCTACTAAGCCCATTTTTGCAGCTGAATAGTTTGCTTGCCCAAAATTTCCTGCATTAATTAGTACATATTAATATTTAAAGTTTTTCAATGTAATTATAAAAGTAAAACAAATATATAAACAAGAGGATGGTTTTTAAATAATTGAAGACTACTGAATATCATTATTTCATCATTTACCATATAACCCTGAAGTAGATGCAGTCATTATAATTCTTCCATAATTCTGTTTTTTGAAAACTGGAAAGGCTGCTTGTGTTGTTTTAAAACTCCCTTTTAAATGGACAGCTTGAATTAAATCTACAAATTAAAGTGATTTTGTTTCTTTAACATTTTAATATGTAAGTTATAAACTTATTACCCCAATCGTGATCTGTTATTTTCATGAAACTTTTATCTCTCAATATTCCAGCATTATTTATTAGTACATCAACTCTACCAAAATTGTCAATGGCTGTTTTGATAATCTTTTCTCCCTCCACAACAGAATTGTAGTCAGCTACAGCAGTACCGCCTTTCAAAAGTACAGAAGTCTTATTAGACATAAAATAAAATGCATTACAAAAGAAAGCTACACACCTCTAGTTTTTATTTCATTGACTACATTATCAGCAGCTTTACTTGATTTACCATCGCCATCACGTCCTCCGCCTAAGTCGTTTACAACAACTTTTGCTCCCCTAGATGCAAAAAGTAAAGCATAAGTTCTTCCTAATCCTGCACCGGCTCCTGTAACTACGACAACTCGTCCATCAAACCTTAAATCACTCATCTTTTACTGTTTAAATTTTTGAAGAATTATTAGACACAGCAAATGATCTTCAGTATCAGTAATTAATGGAGATCTAAGGTCAATTTCACTTTTTACAAAAAAGGTATTACTGCCAATTACTGTTTATGTTATTAACGTCAATTATAATGATAATAAACGTCAAGTTGACAGTTAACATGTGAAGTTGGATTATATTATTTTTGTTATGTCTTTATTATTATTATTATTACACAGCGGTACCAACTACTACTCAACGATATCAATCTTCATATCGGATGATAACTGCTGCAGTCTTATCTATGGATCAGTGATGGTAGAATTTCAACCTTGTTACAACTGTTTTTTTTTTTTCAAATCGTGACGTTTCCAACAGCATGAAGTTGGAGTTCGCTGTCAAAAACAGTCAAAAATTTATAAATGGTAGTTTTCGGTGACGGAAGATGTGTTTAGCAAAATGGCCGAGGAATTGATTTTCTTAAAAGAAGATGGATATTTAAATGTAGATTCGGAAATAAAACAAATTGTTTATCATCCATCGTTAAATGTAATTTTAATTTGTACCGGTGAAGGCATTGTCCGCGTCTTGGATGTCAATTCGGGTGTCGTGCTGCAAAACAGCAACTTATCAGGTGAGTTTGTTTATAAAAATGGTCAATTTATTAATAATTTTATATAATTCCTATTTAATGAATGTGTATTTCACTCTTTTAAAGCACAAAATGGTAATGAAATAGCATGTCAGTATATACCTGAGTTAGATCGAGTGCTGTTTTGTGATGGCCAGGCTCTTGGTGTAAGATCAGATTATAATGGTGTGTTGTTGCTTGATACAATATTACAAAAGCCTACATGTAAACCAAAGGATAGTGTAAAACTAGAACTTCTACTTTCTGAGGTAAAAATTATATGAAATGATGAAATGTTATGCATTAATTTGTCGTTTGATAATTTAGGCAATCATATTAAAACAAAGTTTAACGTCTGCGGCTGTAACAGGGATCGATGATATACTTAATGAGTTGACAGAGAAAATTTCAGAAGCTCAGGAGTGTTTGAAGATAGGTATTAAAGCACAAAAGGTGAGTTGCATTGTTATCTTTAACTTGAAAGTTTTTAAGTATTGCAATTTTTAAGTGACATGACTAAAAAGTTGTAAACAATTTTGTGATAAATGTTGATAAAGTTGACTTATTGCATGTGATAATTTATAAATTAATCTGATAAGTGTATAAAGCTGATTTATTTATTTATTCTGTTAATATCTATATCTTGTATTCAAAGTATTCTTTATTAATACAGTGGACCACTCTTTGTCTGGAACTGCCACTAGAAGCATTTCGTTCTGCAACAAATGCAACAGTTACAGAACTAATTGTAAAAAATCAGCGCACACCAGAACTTGGGGTGGCTTCAGCTGTGTATGAGCGTTTATCAGAACTGCTTGGAGAGCAGGCAAATGCTTCAGATAGGAGAGCAATGGCCAGTGAGGCCAAAAGAAGAGAAACATTTACAAATTGGCCACACATGGACTATAAGTAATATAACAATTTTTTTTTCGTATTTTTTTAATCATATTTATCATTTAGTTACTTAATAAATGAAAATAGTAATATGTATGTATTCTATGTAATGCTATCTTTTGAATTAATAATTTCTTGATTATTAAATTAAATTGTTAGGCTTTTATTCTAAGTTTGGAATAATATAAAAACTAGTAATGTAATTGATGTTTTAAATAATTTTTAGATGGGCATTGCCTGATCAGATGGCACAGGCTGGATTTTATCATCAACCTAATGTCTCCGGTAAAGACAGGGCCATGTGTTTTACATGTACTGTTTGTCTAGTTTGCTGGGAACGTACAGATGAGCCTTGGAGTGAGCACGAACGTCACTCCCCCAATTGTCCGTTTGTTCTTAGTGAGTATACCGAAAACGTACCGTTGTCTGTGACCTACGCGACGAGTCCGGCCGCGGATGTCACTCACAGTTATCGGAACATGGTGCCAGTGAATGTCCTGGGCACTAGCTCGGTTCCTCATCTGTTTGCCACGTCCAATTCAGAGGGACTTATCAGCGTTTATGACGTAACCGGAAAAGTGAAAAGGACACATTCTTTTTTCGTCACGCAGTTCGACTCTCATGTATTGGAGAAGCTGACGCAAGACTTCGGGGTACCGAGCACTTGGTGCGATAATAATGAAAGTAAGAAATGTTAAATCTTTTTGGTGAGGAAGTTCTTTGACATGTAAATCCACATATTATATTGCGGTCGGGATTGCCAGACACATTAGTCAAAATATACAGAAAACAAGTATGTAGGTACATTAGGGTGTTTTTTTTTTGTTTCTGGTCCCATTAGCTAATGTATAATAAGAAAAGTATCTTAAAGTTTCAGCTTCATATATCAGCCCAGCCCTGTAAACGGCGCAGTTTGCTTTCTATTTAATTAACATGGAAAAAGTAACGTTTTAAAAAATAGAATTTCGTTGAACTAGAGTGGATTCATAGGTCGGCCAGTTTCGGTCGGTTGCTTCTGCAAGTTGATACAATTGTTACAGATTGGGGAAGTGCTTTTGATAGCGCCAATCACTTATTTTTGCTTCATAAGTTGTTATTCTAATATCTTGATTCACTGCATTTTTATATATAGCAAATTATTTGTGAAGGTTGACGGCCATCTTTCTGATAAATTTATTAGCAGTTGTGGAGTGTCACAGGGATCTCATTGTGGTCCTCTTTTATTCGCTAGGTTAGTCGTTAGCGGTTCCGAGATCTTAACGTATGCTGGTGATCTTCTTTTTTTCCTTAAAGGCAAATAAATGCTGTTTAACATTCGGGAGTGGCAGTAATTTGGAACGCCTTCTTGATTATGTCATTATTAGTTAAAGTCATTTGATCCTGAACTTTCGTTTTTTTGGCACATCACGTCAGTTGCTAACACGTTAGGTGCGTAAAACAAGGTCACTAACGCTCTCTGCTAGAGTAAGATAGCGGTGGCTAAGACATCTTTCTTACATGTAACCGAATATATGAATAGCATACTCTGAATAAGTAATACTCTAAACAAGATCCGACTTTTGCATCGAGTGTTGAAATACTGGCCTGGTTTATAATGCATCCTACAATGTAAAAATAAATTTCAAAGACAAGGGAGAGCTTTATTTTAGAAAAATTTTATATTTAATTTTTGCATTGGGCATTGTGTCCCTATGAATTCTAAATAAATAAATATGTATAAATATATCAACATATGTAGTATTTGTCATTTACTTATTCATTATTAAGAATCAAATCTTTTAACGTGTCTTTGCATTTGTATTATTTGTTTTCATCCAATACTTTACGCTCCTCGGGTAATTTATTAAATGATCTCGTAGTGGTCAAAAGACTACCATAATTTGAAATATACTACATTTAGTAAATTATTTACAGTAAAACATCCAGCTGAAAAACAAGTAACAGCTTTAACGATAGTCGGAGAAAAAGCAGGTGCCAAAACAACCCCCCAACACTCAACCACTTCCACCATTCGACCGAGTATTATATGCGGATTAAATGTACGATTCAGTGCAAAATCACAAACTTGTGTGGAAGAAGATATGGAAGTAATGGTAGAACATCATCAGCAAGTGTCTGAAAATGGCCGCCTCTATTTTGTTGTCTACGACTTTCAGTACGTCAAAGAACCTCTAGAAGTAACTAATACATTAGATGGTAGCAGTAAGTATGATGCAACAGATGCCCGTGTGAATTCTAAAGACTTCATTATGCTAGAAGAAGCAGAAAATTTACTCCTACCCACAACAAACAATAACACTGGAGGTTCTGACATAATCACATTTATATCAGATTTTAAGCCCTACAACATAGTAAAAGAGCAAGTTCTATATCAGAATTTAATTCCTGGCGAAAGCGACGAGATATTTTTGCCACCTTCGACTGATAACATTAAACATTCAGGACCCAGATTAGTGGACACCAGTGCTTCTGCTTTCGATGCGCTTCAGTATCCGATGAGCAGCAGTCCAATAGAAAAAACAAATTCTGTGACTGACAAAACTATTTCAGATCACATCGCAGATCTAAAGAGTAATCGTGTTAATAAAAAATTGAACTATTCGCGTGCTGTGCAGTGTATGTCAATTCCTGAAAATTACAAATGCGCCGGAGACGCGATTGCTTCCCACATTGTTCCTACAGACGACGGCAGGCACGTTTTGGTGGTGGTTCAAAGTCCTAGTGGGACGTCCAACGGGCTATTGTTGATGTACGCATTAGATTTTTCCGGAAAGATGGTGAAGGTTGTGGAACAACCGATAATGGCTAGAGAACTATCGAGTAATGAGAATCCTATCGAAGTAAGACTTCTGCCGCAACTAGATCGAATTGCGAAAGACTTTTCTGAAACTGAAGTGAGTGGAACTGTCATCGCAGTGTGTTCAGATGGTTCTATACAGCTAATTGATCTTAGCACGTTAAAGACTGTGTCAGTGGCGAAAATGGATGGAGAAAAGTTCATGTCGGCAGTTTATTGCACTAGTAAGATTCGATTTTTTAGTAATGTTTTTTCTATTAAATAAATCTTAAACCGTACATGCAATCATCGGAGAGCGTAAGCCATCTTTTCATATAAATAATAAAGTAATATAAGCCCAATAAATACAATTTAATGCCGGGTGTTATGCTTTGTTCAATTCTATCCTATTTTGATAGGACAGTTTTTAGAGAAGCAGGTGATATTTTCATATAAAAAAAATATATTCTACACGTTCAAAGAAATGTGTAATTTCTGTACTTGGTAATATTTTCTCTTACCTGCATGAATAACAGTAAGTTCTTGGCTAGCAATTTATCGAAACTACCGGTTGTAGATCGCGATTTCGAATGTGTTAGTCACCGTCACCATCCCGAGGTAGTTTTGATAAATCACCAATCAATCCGAGGCTGGAACAACAAGCGAATTGGTTTAAGGTACAGCAGGGTTGGAAAACAATATGTTTTAAACAATTTTTTTACATATATTTTGAACACATGTTTTAAACGTAGTAAACTTGTTTTAAACAAATTTTTTTTATAGTGGCGTGTTGACGTCATTAACTAGTTGTGTTTTAAAATGTCAACCCTTGAGATGTTTTCTTTATTTCAACCAATAAGTACTTTTGCTCTAGCGTCTAGCCGAAGGAATTTAAGGAATGTTTAATGTATGACGTTTTATTATTATATTTTTAATTTTAAAATACTTTGTTTTAAACGTGCCAACCCTGAGGTACAGGCTGTAGCATTTTAAAATGTTTAACAAGGGCCTCACGAATATATCAACCTATCAAACTGAATCTGCGACGCAGCTTACATACATACATACATACACCAATTTATATTTATACACCTTATATCTTTTTTTATAGGTTTGGAACGGCTGTGCGCATCTACAAAGAAGGGTTCGCTACACTTTTACGCTTTAAAAGATAACGATAGCGATTCTATTGAAGATCACGACGACGAAGATATGTTGGGTTTGTCAATCGATTCCCAGTTAGCAGGTTCACATCCTACTGAATCTTCCAGCGGTTCTGAAATGCCCTACTATTTCCACGAATCAGTGGGTGACATAAAGCTAGAAGATCTAAGACGACTTCAATCGCTATGCCTGTTCGAACCGATCAAAGTGGGCTATTGTGCGGTTGTCCCCCCCTGCTGGAGTGAAATGCAGCAGGCACAAAGACAACGACGCCATCCTCACATACAAACGGAAAACGAACAACACACTAAGACGTGGCGTCTTCAAACTGACACCACCACATGGGACGAGCATGTATTTGAACTGACTTTGCCTTCTCCTACTTGTGTGGGTCATGTGGATGTTCATTTTGCCCTTCATGGTTCATCGGTATTACCACATGTTGAGATAACACTCCTGAAACAAAATACCAATAGTATAGGTCATAGGAAAAATGTAAAGTTTGGTGTAGACGATGCGATCACATTCGAAGCACTCCAGTGGGCAAATAATAACCCGGTGACGTCCCAAGAATACCTTCGAGCCCATAAGGCAGATATATTGGCTGGACCAGTTGATATTGCAACCAGTCTGGATCTTACAGACCAAGGGGGTTGTGTAACATTAACTAGCCCTCGCTTATTCAAATCTCGAGTGCGCACTCTACTATTACATATCAAATCGGTTTTTGTGAAAGAAGAAGGTGGTACAAGATTCGCCAACGCAACACGTAGTAGACGCGTTGCTAGTGGGGTCAGTGCAGCAGCAGGTGGATCTTCGCTAAGCTCTAACAAAGGCGAGTTCTACATGGGCTGTGACTGTTTGCAAGAAGTCAGTGTTACTGTGTATACAGTTAAACATGTGGATATTTCTAACGAAAAAATGCAACGGAGCGCGATGCTGGAGTCGAACGTGTTCGTGCAATCTTTGGTTACGATAGTGACTGCCGGAGGTTCGTACAGAGATAGACAGAGCCGTGCCATGGACATATTAAATTGGATTGCGGCCATTCGTATGACGCGAAACAGAAGCTGTAACGGAGAACCGCCTAATCAACAAATTGAATTTTTGAAGATAGTGGAGACGAATTTACCAGGACTCCTGAGGCAATGTCTGTTGCTCGCGAATAGATCCATCTCACATAAATGTGCTAAATTGATGATCATTTGTAGCAAGTAAGTTAAAACTACATTCATTAACTATTGTACAAATAATTTAGTGTTGTTACTGATTAAAGTCTTTGTTTTAGTAACTATTTATAATTGTATTGTATTTTTATAGTGGCGCACGTAATATGAACGAGCAAATAGGCAAACGATTCGATTCGTGCATCTTGAGTGTCCTTCTAGTCATCCTGGAATCGATAGATCGTGTCCAATCAGCTAGTAGTCTTCAGTGGATTGTAAACCTCTTGTTTAAAGTGGCGCAGCCCGATCAATGCGCTCACATAACTTCCAAGTGTGTATCGCTTCTTTCCAAACTATCTGAAGAGATCCATGCTCGTACCAATCCTTATCACCTGCTATTGCGTAGTCGCTACGGCCTCTACGGGATTCCATTAGAGCCAGAATTATTCGACATTGAGCCACCACCCTCCGTTAAAGCCACAAGTGTAGCAGTTACCTATGCGTCTGTTGTGGCTGGAGACACATCAGCAATTCCATCGACGGATTTCCATACGAATTTTACATGTAATAAAGAAACGTTGGATCCGAAAGAAGTCTTGTCTGTTTCTAAAGGCGATAATAAAATCAAATTGAAGAACGTTGCTTCCACCAAAATGATAAGGGGACTATTGGAGACGGAACCGTTACATTTCACTTGTGTATCCGCCAGCGAAGGTACAAGATTAGAAAGAGCGGATTCGAATGGGAATAACTTTGTCAACAGTATAATTCCAATACCGGTGTCGGGGACACAACCTTCTGTAAATAGTGGGACGAAAAAGGTAGAAGTTGAAACGTTTATGAGCGAACCGGAAGCTATTTATGTTCATAATCCTGGGAAAGAGGCCAGTAATGGGCAGGGGAGCAGTAATAACAGCAATGCTTCTTTCTTCGATGGATTCTGCAATATGATCTTGTACACTGACAATCTCAAGACTGACGAATTTTCTAAAATTAAAATGAGTAAGTCCAATCTTCTATTTGTGTTAAACATTTAGATAATATTCCTAATATAAGTATTTGATCCACAAACATCATAATTTTAACTTAAAAGTCTTAAGGACGAACTGAAGGTAAAGTAATTTGAAGTTAATTATTTAACGAAAAAAATTAAAAATTATCTTTAATTTATTGGAATAATGCAAATAAGAGAAATTAAGTAATTCATTTTTTAAATCATAGCGAAAGTTATGGACTTTTATACTTTTAGTAACCTACATGTTAGTACTACTACTACACTACTGTCATAGCTCGAAATCTTTTTTAAGTTGAAAACTTTAACTTGACATACATATATTGTTTTACATTTTTTCTTCTGTACCTGGCAAAAATGAGAGCACGTGCGAAAATATTTTTATCAGCTCTTACATATTTTGAACAGTAGTAATTTAACTGTAAACATCAATTTGTCTCATTCACTTCTATTCTACTCTAAAAGCCTAAATTGCCCCTCTGTTAAACGACCACTGGATTACTTTTCCGCTCTCTTATTTAATGAATTAGTAATTCATTCCACTATGTGATATATATGTTTTATTTTATTAATTGTTGCTTCACAGATGTTCTGATGATGTATTTTTTTTCTACAGTATATTAANTTTATGTTGCAGTTATACATATATATTACTCCAAGGTATTTACAGCTTTCAACTCTTTTTAGATGTTGACCGTTAATTATAATTTCTATGTTATCTAGTAAAGAGTATCTATAATTACCAAATGTAAAAATACTCATTTATATTCAGTACAATGTTATTCCGATGTAGCTATGGGAATATAGTATATAGTTTACGGATTAATACTACTAATTTAGTCCAAGTTTGTCTACTCGCGAAACTGCCGTATCATCAGCTAAAGCAATTAAATTCGACTGCGGAGTTAATAAGTCATTTACGTACAGTATGAACAACAGTTCTCCTAATATTGAGTCCTGTAGAACTCCAAAATCACTATTTACTGGCTGGCTTTTTATACCATTAACCTTGACAATTTGAGTTCTATTTGGTAGATAACTTTTTTGAGAAATAATCAAGCTCCTCGTATTCCTATATTGTGCAGTTTGGAAAGAAGAAATTAACATTCGTTTTTCCTTTGTCAGATAACAGCAGTAGGGAGATATGGCATGTCAACGACGAGATGCCGGATACCAATCGGTTCTTTCTTTGGGCATTTAGTGACAACCCATCTGACGAACAAAGAACACGAAGAGTGCCAGAAATCTACGTGCACAGAACTTGAGAATCAACTAGGTGTATTGTCAATGTTACTGGAAGATGTCGGATGCCGATACAGTCTGGCATCGACAAAACTGAAAAATTTCTTGCAACCTTTTCTCAATTCGAACGTAAGCAATGCTTCTCACTTCGCAACATACATGAGCATTATGAAGGAAAATGAGCCAGGAAGTTGCACTTTGGGAGGAGGCGAAGTTTCTAAAATTATTACAGCTTATCAGGTAAGATTCTTTACAAGATCTTTTTTGTGTACTAAATAAAAAAGACTTATAATTAAAGCAATTAAAAAACATTCTTATGTAGGTATTATCGAGTGGAAACACATGTTTGCCTTTTAATTATGTTTGTGATTTGGAATGAGTCTCTATTAATTTACGTTTAATTTAGACCGGTTTTTGTTGTATTTTAATTTTAGTTATCAAAACTAATATATTGCTCCTATTATAGGAAGCTGTAACATACCAACGACAACTTAATACCGTTCGCAGCGTAATGCGCCGCATCGAAGACATGTTACACCCTGTCAATAACCCTCTTACTAACGTCAAATCTCTCAATCACGTTGTAAGCGATGACAAATCCGATGCAAGTCAGCCAGCTTTAAAATTATCCAGTACATCTACCGATAAACTATGCTGTATTGTTGAAGCACTTCTGGACTCGCTACTGTCCATTGATAGCACTGCAGAAATTAATCTGGACACTTGTCAAAAACTGTTCTCTGGATTGTGTGTTGCTCAGAATTCTCGTATACAACTTTTAGGAGCCACACTTCTTTTACGGTCGTGCGGAAAGCAGCCCTTCTGGGACAGCTTCATCGCAGACACATTAAAAAACATGTTCTCTTCGTCGTGCACGTATGTGTTTCCGCAAGACAGGCTGTTCGTACTATTGGCTTTCTTGGGACGCAAGAGTCCTGACAGAAGCTCAGTTGTAGATGCAACGTTACGAGTGATAGCTGNTTTTAAAATACTTTGTTTTAAACGTGCCAACCCTGAGGTACAGGCTGTAGCATTTTAAAATGTTTAACAAGGGCCTCACGAATATATCAACCTATCAAACTGAATCTGCGACGCAGCTTACATACATACATACATACACCAATTTATATTTATACACCTTATATCTTTTTTTATAGGTTTGGAACGGCTGTGCGCATCTACAAAGAAGGGTTCGCTACACTTTTACGCTTTAAAAGATAACGATAGCGATTCTATTGAAGATCACGACGACGAAGATATGTTGGGTTTGTCAATCGATTCCCAGTTAGCAGGTTCACATCCTACTGAATCTTCCAGCGGTTCTGAAATGCCCTACTATTTCCACGAATCAGTGGGTGACATAAAGCTAGAAGATCTAAGACGACTTCAATCGCTATGCCTGTTCGAACCGATCAAAGTGGGCTATTGTGCGGTTGTCCCCCCCTGCTGGAGTGAAATGCAGCAGGCACAAAGACAACGACGCCATCCTCACATACAAACGGAAAACGAACAACACACTAAGACGTGGCGTCTTCAAACTGACACCACCACATGGGACGAGCATGTATTTGAACTGACTTTGCCTTCTCCTACTTGTGTGGGTCATGTGGATGTTCATTTTGCCCTTCATGGTTCATCGGTATTACCACATGTTGAGATAACACTCCTGAAACAAAATACCAATAGTATAGGTCATAGGAAAAATGTAAAGTTTGGTGTAGACGATGCGATCACATTCGAAGCACTCCAGTGGGCAAATAATAACCCGGTGACGTCCCAAGAATACCTTCGAGCCCATAAGGCAGATATATTGGCTGGACCAGTTGATATTGCAACCAGTCTGGATCTTACAGACCAAGGGGGTTGTGTAACATTAACTAGCCCTCGCTTATTCAAATCTCGAGTGCGCACTCTACTATTACATATCAAATCGGTTTTTGTGAAAGAAGAAGGTGGTACAAGATTCGCCAACGCAACACGTAGTAGACGCGTTGCTAGTGGGGTCAGTGCAGCAGCAGGTGGATCTTCGCTAAGCTCTAACAAAGGCGAGTTCTACATGGGCTGTGACTGTTTGCAAGAAGTCAGTGTTACTGTGTATACAGTTAAACATGTGGATATTTCTAACGAAAAAATGCAACGGAGCGCGATGCTGGAGTCGAACGTGTTCGTGCAATCTTTGGTTACGATAGTGACTGCCGGAGGTTCGTACAGAGATAGACAGAGCCGTGCCATGGACATATTAAATTGGATTGCGGCCATTCGTATGACGCGAAACAGAAGCTGTAACGGAGAACCGCCTAATCAACAAATTGAATTTTTGAAGATAGTGGAGACGAATTTACCAGGACTCCTGAGGCAATGTCTGTTGCTCGCGAATAGATCCATCTCACATAAATGTGCTAAATTGATGATCATTTGTAGCAAGTAAGTTAAAACTACATTCATTAACTATTGTACAAATAATTTAGTGTTGTTACTGATTAAAGTCTTTGTTTTAGTAACTATTTATAATTGTATTGTATTTTTATAGTGGCGCACGTAATATGAACGAGCAAATAGGCAAACGATTCGATTCGTGCATCTTGAGTGTCCTTCTAGTCATCCTGGAATCGATAGATCGTGTCCAATCAGCTAGTAGTCTTCAGTGGATTGTAAACCTCTTGTTTAAAGTGGCGCAGCCCGATCAATGCGCTCACATAACTTCCAAGTGTGTATCGCTTCTTTCCAAACTATCTGAAGAGATCCATGCTCGTACCAATCCTTATCACCTGCTATTGCGTAGTCGCTACGGCCTCTACGGGATTCCATTAGAGCCAGAATTATTCGACATTGAGCCACCACCCTCCGTTAAAGCCACAAGTGTAGCAGTTACCTATGCGTCTGTTGTGGCTGGAGACACATCAGCAATTCCATCGACGGATTTCCATACGAATTTTACATGTAATAAAGAAACGTTGGATCCGAAAGAAGTCTTGTCTGTTTCTAAAGGCGATAATAAAATCAAATTGAAGAACGTTGCTTCCACCAAAATGATAAGGGGACTATTGGAGACGGAACCGTTACATTTCACTTGTGTATCCGCCAGCGAAGGTACAAGATTAGAAAGAGCGGATTCGAATGGGAATAACTTTGTCAACAGTATAATTCCAATACCGGTGTCGGGGACACAACCTTCTGTAAATAGTGGGACGAAAAAGGTAGAAGTTGAAACGTTTATGAGCGAACCGGAAGCTATTTATGTTCATAATCCGGGGAAAGAGGCCAGTAATGGGCAGGGGAGCAGTAATAACAGCAATGCTTCTTTCTTCGATGGATTCTGCAATATGATCTTGTACACTGACAATCTCAAGACTGACGAATTTTCTAAAATTAAAATGAGTAAGTCCAATCTTCTATTTGTGTTAAACATTTAAATAATATTCCTAATATAAGTATTTGATCCACAAACATCATAATTTTAACTTAAAAGTCTTAAGGACGAACTGAAGGTAAAGTAATTTGAAGTTAATTATTTAACGAAAAAAATTAAAAATTATCTTTAATTTATTGGAATAATGCAAATAAGAGAAATTAAGTAATTCATTTTTTAAATCATAGCGAAAGTTATGGACTTTTATACTTTTAGTAACCTACATGTTGGTAAATTTTAAAGGAATACTTTGTTTTAGACAATTCTAAACTAAAATTAATCAAATTGCATGACATTAGATCGTAATTAAGCGGTATTAGAGTGTCAATTAATTTTTCATGTGTCTGCGCAATGCATATTGAAAAAATTAATGAAATTACCATAAAAAATTATTATTGTATACGATGGTTTTTATTTTAACTTTTTGCAAGGGTCATAATATTTAAAGTTTGGGATATTTATAATTACTATCGAACTTCCATAGCTCGAAATCTTTTTTAAATCGAAAACTTTAACTTGACATACATATATTGTTTTACATTTTTTCTTCTGTACCTAGCAAAAATGAGAGCACGTGCGAAAATATTTTTATCAGCTCTTACATATTTTGAACAGTAGTAATTTAACTGTAAACATCAATTTGTCTCATTCACTTCTATTCTACTCTAAAAGCCTAAATTGCCCCTCTGTTAAACGACCACTGGATTACTTTTCCGCTCTCTTATTTAATGAATTAGTAGTTCATTCCACTATGTGATATATATGTTTTATTTTATTAATTGTTGCTNTTTTCTCTCTAATAATAATATGGTTCACTTAATGACATGTGACGTTACGGAAATAAATAAAAATTGAAGTTAAGTTAATTCAAGCGCAAAGCACTAAAGCTCTGCCCAGCTGAAATAATTTCATATGTTGTCTTTGATATAGCTGGTTCCATTTTTAAACTATTAAAATTGAGAAAAAGGATGACAGTAGTACTAATAATAGTACTACAACAATGTAAATCATAGAATTTGTAATTACACTCCTCTTTATTATTATAAATCTAAGCACCTTGGAAATTTAATAAGAAAAATTTTTAAATCTTTTTTAGTTACCGATACGACATGGGAAATATCGGTCGATTCAGACAGTAGTAGCATAAATTCTGAGACTAATAAGCCAGTGTTCGGGGTTGATCAGATCCTTTCTCCACCCCAAACATTACCATGGCAACAGCTACTAATTACTCCACCACAACAAGTAATTATCGTAGAACGTATGCATTCGGGGGCACGAAGATTTGTTACCCTCGATTTTGGTCAGATGGTCCTTTTGACCGACATACTAATACCTGCATGCCACGATCTGGTATCCTTATCGGTAGATGTCTGGGTGAAGAGTGAAGATGTTGATGCCGTTCGGCTTGTAGTCGCTTCCGACATCAATACGAAGAATTTGATCCTTAGTGACCTCCAACCACAGCCATTATGCAGATATTTAAAGGTATGTGATTTTCATTGTTCATCATCATCTTCGCATTTTTTTAAAACGAATACATCCCACATCCTTAACTATTTGTGAACAGTAATGTATGTCTGCCTCTACTCCTCTTAACTTTTTTTTCTGCTTCTAATATGTCTTAACTAGCCTTTCATGCCTGAGAAGGTGTCCTACCAACCTATCTTGCCTATTTCTTATTGATTTCCATAGAGCCCTCTGTTCTCTTACTCTTTCTAATACCTCCTCATTTCTAATCTTCTCTATCCACGGTGTCGTTATCATACGCCTGTAACACGACATTTCGAACGATTCCAACCTTTTTTTCAATGATTCAACAGTTCAGACTTTTACTTACTAATAGAAGTATAATACAGAACGAAAATAATGAGTAACATTTTAAAACTAAAAGCAATAATAACCACCGTATTCCCTAGTCTCATCTCGTGCTTTCATGTGCAAATACAATTTTTTAATGCACCAGATTAGGCAATCGGCAAAATAAAATCGGAGGGTGGATGTACGGTCACATGATTTTATGTTGGACAAATTTTGAGTTTACAGGTATACAAAACCCAGTATAACACATTTCACATGTATAAAATGTTTGTCTAAAATTTCTCATATACATATCTTAATCTTGCGCAGTCGAAAATTGTCTGCGCATGCGCTTACAACTCATGAAAGTACGTGATGAGGTATGCGTACAAATGATGCGCAGAACAGAGCTGGGGGCTCGGAGGATAAAGAACACGAGACTATCTGTTTCACATTGTTAGAACAGCTTCCACTTATAGCAACTGTCCGTATAAAATATTACATATATGTATTATGTACATAGATATCCCTAGTTTATGTTGCAGTTATACATATATATTACTCCAAGGTATTTACAGCTTTCAACATCTTTTTAGATGTTGACCGTTAATTATAATTTCTATGTTATCTGGTAAATAGTATCTATAATTACCAAATGTAAAAATACTCATTTATATTCAGTACAATGTTATTCCGATGTAGCTATGGGAATATAGTATATAGTTTAGGGATTAATACTACTAATATTGAGTCCTGTAGAACTCCAAAATCAGTATTTACTGGCTGGCTTTTTATACCATTAACCTTGATAATTTGAGTTCTATTTGGTGGATAACTTTTTTGAGAAATAATCAAGCTCCTCGTATTCCTATATTGTGCAGTTTGGAAAGAAGAAATTAACATTCGTTTTTCCTTTGTCAGATAACAGCAGTAGGGAGATATGGCATGTCAACGACGAGATGCCGGATACCAATCGGTTCTTTCTTTGGGCATTTAGTGACAACCCATCTGACGAACAAAGAACACGAAGAGTGCCAGAAATCTACGTGCACAGAACTTGAGAATCAACTAGGTGTATTGTCAATGTTACTGGAAGATGTCGGATGCCGATACAGTCTGGCATCGACAAAACTGAAAAATTTCTTGCAACCTTTTCTCAATTCGAACGTAAGCAATGCTTCTCACTTCGCAACATACATGAGCATTATGAAGGAAAATGAGCCAGGAAGTTGCACTTTGGGAGGAGGCGAAGTTTCTAAAATTATTACAGCTTATCAGGTAAGATTCTTTACAAGATCTTTTTTGTGTACTAAATAAAAAAGACTTATAATTAAAGCAATTAAAAAACATTCTTATGTAGGTATTATCGAGTGGAAACGCATGTTTGCCTTTTAATTATGTTTGTGATTTGGAATGAGTCTCTATTAATTTACGTTTAATTTAGACCGGTTTTTGTTATATTTTAATTTTAGTTATCAAAACTAATATATTGCTCCTATTATAGGAAGCTGTAACATACCAACGACAACTTAATACCGTTCGCAGCGTAATGCGCCGCATCGAAGACATGTTACACCCTGTCAATAACCCTCTTACTAACGTCAAATCTCTCAATCACGTTGTAAGCGATGACAAATCCGATGCAAGTCAGCCAGCTTTAAAATTATCCAGTACATCTACCGATAAACTATGCTGTATTGTTGAAGCACTTCTGGACTCGCTACTGTCCATTGATAGCACTGCAGAAATTAATCTGGACACTTGTCAAAAACTGTTCTCTGGATTGTGTGTTGCTCAGAATTCTCGTATACAACTTTTAGGAGCCACACTTCTTTTACGGTCGTGCGGAAAGCAGCCCTTCTGGGACAGCTTCATCGCAGACACATTAAAAAACATGTTCTCTTCGTCGTGCACGTATGTGTTTCCGCAAGACAGGCTGTTCGTACTATTGGCTTTCTTGGGACGCAAGAGTCCTGACAGAAGCTCAGTTGTAGATGCAACGTTACGAGTGATAGCTGAAGTGTTAGTGCCTTTAGCGGAAAACAGGCAGAATTTGCTGGCTGTCTCTATTGACTGTCCATTGCTTGGTTGGCTGTTGCTTTTCTTGTCTCTGCTTCTGGATATGAATAAGGGTATGTTGCCGAACGCGACTAGGTGGGATTGGGTAACTGGGGAAATAGCTGGAAAGACGAACGATACATCTGGGTCGAGTTACAAGAAGAAACTCCAAAAGACGTATCTGTACAAACAGCAGTTAAAGAACCTCGACTGGACCCAAAAAGTGTGTCACACATCCACTCAGGTACAGGTTTGTACGATACTAGAAGATTGGTTTTATTTGCCCAAAATTCTTTTTTAATTGAAACAAGAAAGTAAATAAATGGGCATTCATTCAGAATTAAGTTAATGCATAAAACGAGGCGTTACCAATGAATAGTTGATCAATAAAAACATTCATTTAAAAACTAAATGGTATTTATTATACAATAGAGCCTTTAATGAAGTATATAGATTAATCAAATAATAAACTGTTTAATTACACTTTAAAATTAGTATTTATTCTTAATCATTTGAATTTTTTTTGAAATACAAGTTATTTGAAGTAATTTATCTGTACATTCATGCTGCTTTTCTTTTTATTTAATTTCTTATGAAACGGCAAAGTATTTCCACCTTTTCATATTTTTTCCTTCCAATTCTTTTCTTCGTCCTTTAACCTTTCTCTAATCCTCGAATCTATTCTAAAATTATGTAATTGTGTAAAGAATAGTTTGTAAATGTATGATTTGTAACTTTTCCTTAGGCTTTATCGGCGTTATCTAGTCAAGCTGCACATTTAACATCAAAACTAGAGGCAGCTTTGAAACAGCAGGAACATATTTTCAAAAAGATGAAGCACTATAAAGTTTTGAAGGATGCTTCAAAATCTCTGACTGATTCAGACAATAACGGTTCAAGCAAACAAACGAAACGTAGGAGAGAGCCGTCCCAACCTCAAGAGAATAAACAGTGGTCCTCCTTGCCCTCTCAGCAGCTCGATTGCATCCATTGTTTAGTAGTTGCCAAATGCCTTATCTCTCTTTTATTATCTGTTGATCATTCATGTAGTGCTGACATGTTTCTTTTATCTTGCAAGGTAAGAATGGTATGTCTATTGTGGCCTAATTTTTAAAAAAATATTTATCTTCTACGTAGGTTATAGCGAGATTGATAAGTTTAGCTCGTTTAAGACTTGGTCAATTAATGAACGAAGATCATCTGTTAAAGTTAGTTAAGATTTGTATAGGATCGGAATTGCCATGGGCTCCCCATGCCTTGGCTTGTCTATTACAAGACGCTCTAGAAGTTACTAAACCTACATCTTCCGAAACTGATATGGAAACAGACAATCCTTCCACAAATGCATGGACACCATCTGGTAAGTTTTAATGTTCGAGTTTGAATGATACACGACCTATTTATACTGAAATGTAATATCTTTTATATTTTTAGATCTTATCACAGATGTGGAAAGTTTGTGCGAATCGTTCATTTTCGACGACGGTTTCATATTTGAGCCCGCTTCGAAACAGGGGAAAACCACAAATAACAATGAGAACACTTCTAGTGCAAACAGTAACGTGAATAATGTTACCGCGAATCCCAATAATGGTTCAAATTCCGCAGGAGCATCAGGCAATAATAATGCAGGTGGTAGTCAGCTAACTTACGTCTATGAATCAGACGATTCGGAGCTGGAAGACTTCTTGGACGACATCCTCGAACGTGGCCGTAATCTTCTGAAACGTTCTTCAAAAAGTTCACATCCTAGTCTAGCTACGTCGTCCGCAATGGACGCAAGATTAGAACATAATGTTGAAATGTCGGCCGAAATAGCCCTTCGACAATTAACTATAGCCACAACGTGCAACTTAGTACAGAACGTCAGCGCGTCAGTGCCTCAAGGTGAACTTCAGAAGGAAACTACCGTTTGGCCTACAAGACTTACTACCCCATGGCAAATACATCCCCAGTCATCCGCGACCAACCGGTACTTGCTCATATCTTGTTTTAATTCCCTATTCCGTGACCTGCACTCGCAATCGCCGGCTAATATGGAAAACGTGCTTCAGCTCTGGTTAACGTTGAATTGTGTTCGTCCCGATGATAAATTCGATCCGTCGGTAATGCCATTCGTGGGATTAAGTGGGGATGCAGTGAACGCATTGGTTTCTGCCATCGCATGGAGTCCCGGTTTGTCTCTGAGGACTTGGTGTAGCGCGTTACAGACTCTAACGCTTGTCTGTAACATGACTCATAATGAAACAGGAACGTCGCCAAATCAGTGGTCTGATCCTTATGGATTGTATGCAATGACACAGTGTATCGTTGGACATCCAGATTTTACACAAATGCTTCTGAGATTGCTATCTGGTAGTGGATTGGTGTTCTCTGAAAAAGGATTAGTGAGTAATAGATGTTTATTAAGAAATCATCTTGAATTACTGTTCTATTTGTTTATCGTGATCATTATTTCTTTTTATAAGCTCACAAGGGTTTTTAACTATCTTTCTTATTTAGGCGGGACCATCTCTTTGTAAGACGTTGCATGATTTTTTGGTACGACTTCAAATGCGTTGTAACGTGGTTAGTCCTAGTAGTCACCCAGGAAGTAACTTGAAAAGTCTCCTTTTAAAGATTGTTTATCAACTTATACAACCAAATGGACCTTTGGCCGCTAGACAGGGGCCCTTGGACGCGCAATGTAAATTATTGCAGTCAATGGGTTACCTTGACTATTCTAATGCCGACTTGAGCATTGCCATGAGTATATTTGAAAGTACAGGTACGAAAAAAACATATTTAAGGAGTTTTGTCGGTAAATAATACTAATATTTTTGTTACTTGATAATTTAATTAAAAAGTGATTTCACGTTTTCTTTTTTTCCTGCAATAGTGGATATGCTACTAAAATTAAAAAGAAACTGTTCGTTCATAAATATTCGGGATACAGTATAAAAAAAATGAATCATATAGATGAGTCAAATCAAAATAATCATTTTAATCAATTTTCGTTGTTTTTTACTTTCAGGAATTTTAGCTCATTCGTACATTTCTCATGTAGAAAGAATTAGATGCGTAAATATTGGCGAACGTTTGAACCCTACTTCGCATCTCTTTAGCGGAATATTAGCGTCTGTTTTGGGATCAGAATCAAACAAACAAGATCGGCCTGTCTCCTGGGACTTTTTGCTCATCTCATTGCTCAAATTACAAGCAAAATTGGTGCAAACTCCTCTGCCTGGTACAAATGAACAATCGGTAAACATTAATTTATCACTTAGCTTTTATTTTTTTCTTACAATTTTGTATAAAGAATAGCGTTAATTGTATTGTTGTTCAGGAGGCAATGGATACAGAGCCAGTGGTTACATCTCAAACGGATGAGAGTAAAGCGGAACAAATTCAGCAAGAGAAAAGTGGCCCCACCGTGCCTTGTTTGGCCGATACCGTACTCCAGCATCACCCGAGTATAATCCGATTATGTCAGTGTCTTGCAGCTTGCAAAGCGTCATCACTTTCGATGTTGGCCAATATATCGCAGCAAGTAAGTTATTTTACAATTTCAACAATTTGGTAATTTGACCTGCCTAAAATATACTTTTTTAGAGCGCATTTACTGACTTAGGTGAACCGGGAACAGTTGGTGATGCGGTCTTTCACGTCTTAGCTGCTTTAGCAAAAAAAGCGTCGAATAAAGAACTGGTTCTCGAGCCGGTGCTCATGTTTCTAGTGCAGGCCCCGCAACTAAGTGAACCTTTGCTCTGGTTCATACTGCAAGTTATTGACACAGAGGATGCTCTAAGGAGTTTTCTCAATTCCGGTAAACATTTTTTTTTTGTATGTGTAGACTAAATTCAGCAGTAGATGGACGGTTAAAAGAATAATTAATAGTTGCACATAATTATTTTATATTTTTTCATTATCTTTAGAAATACACGGTGTTATGCATATAATTTCAAAAAATTTTGTAAATACCACTGCTTTTTACCTTTTAATGGGGTTTCGTGTTAGTTGAGTTGACTATACTTCAATTTTCTACTGTCAAATATTTAAATTTNTTTTAGGAGCCACACTTCTTTTACGGTCGTGCGGAAAGCAGCCCTTCTGGGACAGCTTCATCGCAGACACATTAAAAAACATGTTCTCTTCGTCGTGCACGTATGTGTTTCCGCAAGACAGGCTGTTCGTACTATTGGCATTCTTGCACCTTGGAAATTTAATAAGAAAAATTTTTAAATCTTTTTTAGTTACCGATACGACATGGGAAATATCGGTCGATTCAGACAGTAGTAGCATAAATTCTGAGACTAATAAGCCAGTGTTCGGGGTTGATCAGATCCTTTCTCCACCCCAAACATTACCATGGCAACAGCTACTAATTACTCCACCACAACAAGTAATTATCGTAGAACGTATGCATTCGGGGGCACGAAGATTTGTTACCCTCGATTTTGGTCAGATGGTCCTTTTGACCGACATACTAATACCTGCATGCCACGATCTGGTATCCTTATCGGTAGATGTCTGGGTGAAGAGTGAAGATGTTGATGCCGTTCGGCTTGTAGTCGCTTCCGACATCAATACGAAGAATTTGATCCTTAGTGACCTCCAACCACAGCCATTATGCAGATATTTAAAGGTATGTGATTTTCATTGTTCATCATCATCTTCGCATTTTTTTAAAACGAATACATCCCACATCCTTAACTATTTGTGAACAGTAATGTATGTCTGCCTCTACTCCTCTTAACTTTTTTTTCTGCTTCTAATATGTCTTAACTAGCCTTTCATGCCTGAGAAGGTGTCCTACCAACCTATCTTGCCTATTTCTTATTGATTTCCATAGAGCCCTCTGTTCTCTTACTCTTTCTAATACCTCCTCATTTCTAATCTTCTCTATCCACGGTGTCGTTATCATACGCCTGTAACACGACATTTCGAACGATTCCAACCTTTTTTTCAATGATTCAACAGTTCAGACTTTTACTTACTAATAGAAGTATAATACAGAACGAAAATAATGAGTAACATTTTAAAACTAAAAGCAATAATAACCACCGTATTCCCTAGTCTCATCTCGTGCTTTCATGTGCAAATACAATTTTTTAATGCACCAGATTAGGCAATCGGCAAAATAAAATCGGAGGGTGGATGTACGGTCACATGATTTTATGTTGGACAAATTTTGAGTTTACAGGTATACAAAACCCAGTATAACACATTTCACATGTATAAAATGTTTGTCTAAAATTTCTCATATACATATCTTAATCTTGCGCAGTCGAAAATTGTCTGCGCATGCGCTTACAACTCATGAAAGTACGTGATGAGGTATGCGTACAAATGATGCGCAGAACAGAGCTGGGGGCTCGGAGGATAAAGAACACGAGACTATCTGTTTCACATTGTTAGAACAGCTTCCACTTATAGCAACTGTCCGTATAAAATATTACATATATGTATTATGTACATAGATATCCCTAGTTTATGTTGCAGTTATACATATATATTACTCCAAGGTATTTACAGCTTTCAACATCTTTTTAGATGTTGACCGTTAATTATAATTTCTATGTTATCTGGTAAATAGTATCTATAATTACCAAATGTAAAAATACTCATTTATATTCAGTACAATGTTATTCCGATGTAGCTATGGGAATATAGTATATAGTTTAGGGATTAATACTACTAATATTGAGTCCTGTAGAACTCCAAAATCAGTATTTACTGGCTGGCTTTTTATACCATTAACCTTGATAATTTGAGTTCTATTTGGTGGATAACTTTTTTGAGAAATAATCAAGCTCCTCGTATTCCTATATTGTGCAGTTTGGAAAGAAGAAATTAACATTCGTTTTTCCTTTGTCAGATAACAGCAGTAGGGAGATATGGCATGTCAACGACGAGATGCCGGATACCAATCGGTTCTTTCTTTGGGCATTTAGTGACAACCCATCTGACGAACAAAGAACACGAAGAGTGCCAGAAATCTACGTGTACAGAACTTGAGAATCAACTAGGTGTATTGTCAATGTTACTGGAGGATGTTGGATGCCGATACAGTCTGGCATCGACAAAACTGAAAAATTTCTTGCAACCTTTTCTCAATTCGAACGTAAGCAATGCTTCTCACTTCGCAACATACATGAGCATTATGAAGGAAAATGAGCCAGGAAGTTGCACTTTGGGAGGAGGCGAAGTTTCTAAAATTATTACAGCTTATCAGGTAAGATTCTTTACAAGATCTTTTTTGTGTACTAAATAAAAAAGACTTATAATTAAAGCAATTAAAAAACATTCTTATGTAGGTATTATCGAGTGGAAACGCATGTTTGCCTTTTAATTATGTTTGTGATTTGGAATGAGTCTCTATTAATTTACGTTTAATTTAGACCGGTTTTTGTTATATTTTAATTTTAGTTATCAAAACTAATATATTGCTCCTATTATAGGAAGCTGTAACATACCAACGACAACTTAATACCGTTCGCAGCGTAATGCGCCGCATCGAAGACATGTTACACCCTGTCAATAACCCTCTTACTAACGTCAAATCTCTCAATCACGTTGTAAGCGATGACAAATCCGATGCAAGTCAGCCAGCTTTAAAATTATCCAGTACATCTACCGATAAACTATGCTGTATTGTTGAAGCACTTCTGGACTCGCTACTGTCCATTGATAGCACTGCAGAAATTAATCTGGACACTTGTCAAAAACTGTTCTCTGGATTGTGTGTTGCTCAGAATTCTCGTATACAACTTTTAGGAGCCACACTTCTTTTACGGTCGTGCGGAAAGCAGCCCTTCTGGGACAGCTTCATCGCAGACACATTAAAAAACATGTTCTCTTCGTCGTGCACGTATGTGTTTCCGCAAGACAGGCTGTTCGTACTATTGGCTTTCTTGGGACGCAAGAGTCCTGACAGAAGCTCAGTTGTAGATGCAACGTTACGAGTGATAGCTGAAGTGTTAGTGCCTTTAGCGGAAAACAGGCAGAATTTGCTGGCTGTCTCTATTGACTGTCCATTGCTTGGTTGGCTGTTGCTTTTCTTGTCTCTGCTTCTGGATATGAATAAGGGTATGTTGCCGAACGCGACTAGGTGGGATTGGGTAACTGGGGAAATAGCTGGAAAGACGAACGATACATCTGGGTCGAGTTACAAGAAGAAACTCCAAAAGACGTATCTGTACAAACAGCAGTTGAAGAACCTCGACTGGACCCAAAAAGTGTGTCACACATCCACTC